TATATATAGATTTCCTAAAAGGAAAAATGGTTTATAAAATAAAACCATGCAAATACAATTTTCGTTTTATAGAATAATAAATTGATTTGTAAAATCGCAAGGGTATATAAACTTCGACTTCCTTACTTTCTGGTATTCTTTGAAGAAAAAAAATATGTTGTAACCAAGAGAAGTACAAATTAAACTAAAATATTAAAAATCACAAAGGAAAAGGGAAAATTGGAAAGCTCAAAGAATAAGTAGCAAAAGGTAAATCATCTTACAGCGACCTTAGGGCCGACCTCAGTTAATATTTGATGTTCAGCTTTGTGTTGTTTTTTGTTCGGGCTGTAAACTTTATGTCTGAGTTTGAAGCAGTTCTTTGAAATTGACTTTTATAATTTACCATGCCCATGACAGAATCCCATTTATGTTTCGAATCTAGATACATTAAGTTTGACTCAAAGTTAAAGATTGAACTATCGATTAAATTGTTCGCAATGTAAGGCATATTTAAAGATCATTTCTTTTTCTTAAATCGCTGGCTGTAACGTTAGCTTTTTAATTTTTAATGGCTGCCAAATGCGGACAGAAACCATTTTGGCATACAAGCAAATATAATTTACCCTGCCTAAAAGCACTAACAATCAAACACTCGACAACAGGAGCAGAAACAATGGAAACAACAGCAACGACAAGCTAAAGCAATTAGTTTAATGTGATTCCCTTCTGGCCTTCGCATCGTCTTGGCCAAAAGAGATGAAGCCTGGCAAAGTTTTATGTACCACAAATAAAATTATAGTCGGTACACACAACACACATACTTCGAGCGCCACAGGCAGTCGCTGCAATTTCCGCGCTGGAAAATGATAGAGAGTGAAAATCTGTCGCTCCTAAAAGCATGCTACAAAAATGTCTGCCACCTCCCTTAGCGTTTTCTTATCTTTCGACTCTCACCTGCTTCAGTTTTAAACATTTTAACTTTCCCTTGGACCCGCTCAGCCTTTTCTTCGCTTCTCCCCCGCATTTCCCTTGGTTTTCCCGGCGACGCTGTCATGCACATTAACCAAATAGCTGGTGCCTTGATTTGATTATCATGTTGGTGTCTGTGTGTGGAGCGTGTTGCTGGAGAAGACTGCCGTTTGACAAGCAACTTCCGCACACTTCCCGGAAATGGTGGCAAAGAAGGAGCTAGAGAGAAAGCCGTGTCACCCGTGGCATCCCAATTCATTCGGAAAGTTGTCCTAGAATTAAATGGACACTTAAGTGCAGGTACTTAAAAGCCAGTCCTTAGTGTACAAAAGAATACACAGAGAGGCATTGGAAAAGAAAAAAGCTTCGAACACCTATTAACTTTGTGCTCTTTAATGAATTTCAAAAAATTATCGGTAATTGAATAATATAATATAATATTTTTGGATCTTGTATTTATTATCACCATATTTCACTTGAGAGAATGAGAAAGTTTATTAGTACATTACGACTAGACCCATTAAGAATTGTAAGTAAATGTTATATTGCACATCAGCAAACTACTTTTCGAGCGGAAAATATTTCTATTTGATCCATAAATTCGACTAAGGTTCAACTGGCAGTCGGCAATAAACCAGCCAATAACAAGTACTCCATGGTTTGCCGCATATATCAACATTTAACCCTTGAATGTGAGCTGGCAAAGGAAAACATATTTTGACTGGCACTTTGATTTATGCCGCTTCCTGTCGAGATAGGTAGAGTAAACTGGGGACAGCGAGTCAGGAAAACCTGAGAGAAGGGGAGTCTGGAGCAAAGCGTTTTGTTATGTTTCTGTCGCATGCATGATTCATGGCATCGCTTTATTTCTCTTTATTAGAGAAAGCGAGGGGGAAAGTCACTTGAAATCCATGTTGGCGCTTTGATTTCCATTGTGTATCCGCAGTCACAACCCCCCACTTTTCCATCCTCTCTGAGGTACATCTGCAAATTGACTGCAATAAATTTTTGTCCGTTTTTCATAAAACACTTAAAACGATTTGCAAAGTTAAAATAGGCAGAGCAAAAAAATGCTATCATGCGGGCAGATAATGGAAATGGTAAAAATCGAGCAGGCACATCCCGCATTTTTCATTCCACTTACGATAACAATTTTCGATATCGACACGAAGTCCATTTGCCCTACCAAAAACACTAGAAAGCGGAACACCAAAGTAAATAAAAATGCTTAATTACTTCCCCTTTTGGCAGCCTGCAAATTTATGACCTACAAACTCGTTTGAAAACAGAAAATAGCTAGGAAAAGGCAGAGTTAATTCACAAATTCAATTATATTTGCGAAAACAACAAATACAAACAAATGACTTCCTTCAGAATACATGTGTGAGTACAGTAATGATCAAGGCACTGTAAACATAAATGAATATATTTATAAATCAATTTATACAAATGCTTTTACTAATGTAAATACCTTTTCTTCAATAGGAGATACAAAAATAAATTTATTTCCAATCCAATACTATCCAATTTATTTATAATTGTGCAAGTCTAACTGCCTTTTAAACATTTATTTAAGTATTAACATTGGTTTATCCGTGGGAGTCATTCCCAAACTTGGTTAAAAAACAAAACATTTTGTTGTATCCTAATTAGGTATAAGTAATTGTTTTTTAAGTTTTCACATTAAGTTTAAAATTTTTTGTTAATTTTTCTTTATCAGTGTACATACATGGGTGTTGTTTTGGGTTGCTGAATGTGTGTTGCCTTTGGCTAAAAGTTTTGGTTACATTTTCATTGGGTGCTTCTGTTTTATTTCAGTTACTGTTTCTGTTTCTGATTCTGTTTTGGTTTGAGTTTCGGTTTTGCCTGGCGGATTTGACTGAAATTGGTTATGACAAGGTCAAAAGAAATTACGAAAGTATTAAACCTGTAGTCACGTGTGAGACTTTTCCTTTTTCTATTCCACTTCTGGATAAGCTGTCATCTCAGTCTTCCTAAGTGGATTGTGCCAAAATTAGGAAACCACTAATTTTACTTAAGTTGCGAAAACAGCACTGGATGTCTATTTAAAGCCACTCGATAATGCTCAGGTTAAGAGTTCTCTGTCTGCTAATTAGAATTGAAAATGTTTGTGCGCCAAATTAGCGAACCGAAAAACGGGTTTCCTGCATAAATGAAGTGCACCCGAATACAAAAAACAGAACCCAAACAAAAGACAAAGGGGAAGGAAACTACAAGGGAATATCGCAACACAATGGCCGACGACAGCAGCCCGAAAATAGGCAAACAAAGCAGGCAAGCTCTGAATGGGATGCCCCCCAATGAATGGAGTTCCATTGGTGAATGAAAACCCCATTATAGGGTACAGAACACGGACCTTGGCTCCTGACCTTTCTGAGTTCCCGTAATAGGGTTGACCTGCATCAGCAGATAAACAAAGGCGCCAGACTAATCATGCAGCCTTTTCGTCTTTTTGGAAAATTTCTATCTGTTCGACGAGACTCTTTTGGAAGTAGAGATGCACAGGGCTATCATTATATACAGATATTAAAATGATTTACGACATTGGCTACTCGAAATTGGTGACCTTTTTGAGGGGTCTGCTTTAATTTAAACTGAATAAATACCAAGTTCAATGCATAAACCAAAACAAAAACAGAAATGTTATAGATAATCAATATTCGTTAAGAGACTAAAGTAATTTTAAAGTGACTGACTTGTTGAACCGATTATTTTGCTGACCAACTTTTTCCCAAGTTCAATGCATAAACCAAAACAAAAACAGAAATGTTATAGATAATCAATATTCGTTAAGAGACTAAAGTAATTTTAAAGTGACTGACTTGTTGAACCGATTATTTTGCTGACCAACTTTTTCCCATTTCCTTGTGCAATTTCAGTAAAACTTAAGCAGCACGCGCCCGAAATTTGAATCAAGGCGCAGAATGCAGCCAAAAAGGGTCGTAGGCGAGGCAAAAACAACGGCGCTCTAATTGTGGCCCGGGCCACGTCCATGATTCGGACGAGAACCAGGACCATGGAGTTATTTGTATGCATCCAGGTGAATTCTGCGACAGAAACAGCAGCAAGTACAGCTACGGAAATGGCGAGCAGCGGCTAAGCGGAAACTGGAAGCTGCAGCGATTCCAAAAAGCAACCAGAAAATCTAGAGTGTTTAACAGAGTTCGTCGAGTAAAAAATTCGAATCCAAAAACCAGTCAGTATGATGAGCGCCGGAGGAACGTACATCTCCACAGCCAGTGTGGAGGTCCCACAAGCTTTACAAGATGGGGAAAAGTTCATTCGATGGGACGATGTGAGTATCAAGCATTAAAAGATAAAACATTTAAGCTTTATCAAGTATTTGAAATGAATATTTCTTCAAGATTATTTGTAGTGGAATCTATGATTGATGTTATTAATAATGTTCTGAACAATTTACTTGATTCATTAGGTGTAAAATATTGCTTTATTCGTCTTCCTAGAAAATATGATAACATAGATATGGTCATCAATTCCATTCCATTTTTGATCTAGCTTCTTAACTATTTGCTGTTTATTTGTCATAATGTAACATACAGATATCAGATTTCAAAATAGCATACTTCTAAATGATTGTTGTTTAATGCTCTAAAAATCTGTGTTCTCAACTTGGTTTGTATTTTGGGGTCGACTTTTCGTCATTTTTATAGTGTTACCCCTTTCCAAATTTTTAAAAAATGGCTTTGCAGAAAAGTAACCTAAAACCTGCACTTCGAAGCCCATAACTTTTCTTACAAACATTCGATTTCAAAGTGGCATACTTCTAAATGATTGTGGTTTAATGCTAAAGAAATTTAATAAAATTTTCCAAACAGCTGCAGGACTTTTCTGGACTTGGATTGACTTGGTTTTTGTATACCCACGGAGTAGGAACATGAGTTATGACAGAAAGGGCTTCCCTATATTCTTTGAAAAAGAAGCATTACTTAAAGTATCGTTGCCTAATTAAACACAGATTGGATTGATTGATTACAGAATGTTCGTTTATTATGTGATATAGTTTCGGTTATCGGCTTCTGGCCCTAACAGTTCTCGTTGATCCAATCCTTAAATTCAGACACCGCTGTAAAGACAGAGGGATATGTGGTGGTTGCACATGGTGTGTATCCCCAGGAGACGATGCCCACCTGCTGGACGACGCCACTTTCGGACTTGGTCACCAGCGGACCGCCACTGTCTCCGTTGCAGGCTCCGTCGGGTTTTCCGGCGGTGTAGCTGCACACATTGGACTGAGCCACCGGACTGTTGGAGGGCAATGCAGCTTTGCACTCACTGTAACCAATGACGTTGGTGTCCAGCTTCTGCAGATTTTCTGGCAGGGATCCCGAGTTGTCCCGACCCCAGCCATACAGAAAGCCTTCGCCGGTGCCCTCGAATGTCTTGGATGGAAGGTTCACTGCAGACACCGGATTGCTGCCATCGCGGGAGACGGCGTTCAGGTTGAAGGGATTGTCCTTCAGCAGGATCAGACCGATGTCGTTGGGTCCCACACCACCGCTGTATTTCTCATGGACCACGTACTGCGCATTGGTGAATTTCCTGACCTGGACATCCTCCTTGTTTTTGTAGCTGTGAGCGCCGGCTACAACCTGACCATCTTTGCTGGTCAAACAATGAGCTGCGGTCAAAACGACATCCTTGCGCAGAATGCTTCCTCCACAGAAGTGCGAGCCGGACGTGGACTGCAGGGATACGATAAAGGGAGCTTCCCCCTTCTCCGCCTCATAGCCGTTTATAATGCGACCCTCGGGGAATCCCGGCTGGGGGATAAAATTAGCAGAGGCCGTAGCCAGAGCCAGTGCAAATAGGACCACGAATTGTTTCATTTTGAGTTCCCTGTTGAGTTTGTTGTTCTGCCAATTCGGTCAGCGCCTTTTATAGGTGAGTCCAATCTCCAGTTTGAACCCCAAGCTCAGTAAGATCGGTTATCGTTATCTTTTGAGGGATTTATGATTCTGACCGGCATATTCTTGGCCCCGTCATGATTTCGCTTTGTCCTGTAGTGGCGCCTTTGACTGATTAGCGTGCTAATCTGCAGCGCCTGATTGCACTTGAAGCACAGAAACGCCCTCTCTGCAGTCAACTTGTCTAGTTCTTGGCCTGAATCTGGAAGCCACTATACTATATATTGCCACTTTGTTTAAGAGTCTTTTGGGGTTATCTTGAGTTCGTACTCCGCTGGTCATAAAACATTAGTAAATCTTGCATAGATAGTTAATGTGACTTTCGCAAACTATTCGTGATGATTAGATAAGTGAGGTGTGAATAAACCAGAACTCCAATAAGCTTTCTGTCCCTGATTGTATTTACTTATTTTCGAAACTGTATAGAACAAAAATTAATGTATGTCTTATTACAAACAAGAAAGGAAAGCTAACTTTGGACGGAGCCGAAGTTGATATACCCTTGCAAAATATTCTGTAAATTATATTGTTCAAAATTATTCATATGATGTATTCTTAATACTCATAAAAAGTCCCAACTTCCTAACTTTAAAAACACCAAAGTTATGGCATTTCCAATCGTTCAGTTATATGGCAGCTATAGGATATAGTCGGCCGATCCTTATGAAATTTGTTAGGTCGGATTGATTGGCCAAAACTAAAACCCATAGAAAATCCCAACTTCCTAACTTTACAAACACCAAAGTTATGGCATTTCCGATCGTTCAGTTATATGGCAGCTATATAATATAGTCGCCCGATCCGGCTCGTTCCGACTTATATACTACCTGCAATAGAAAGACAACTTTTGGGAAACTTTCAAGCAGATAGCTTTAAAAATGAGGGACTAGTTTGCGTAGAAACGGACGGACAGACGGACGGACAGACGGACAGACGGATGGACAGACGGACAGACGGACATGGCTAGATCGACTCTCCTGGTGATGCTGATCAAGAATATATATACTTTATAGGGTCGGAAATGTCTCCTTCACTGCGTTGCAAACTTTTGACTGAAATTATAATACCCTCTGCAAGGGTATAAAAATAGAAAAGCTCAGTGATTCTTAAAACGTTGGTCAAACTAAATAGAGAATAGAGCAATTTTGTATATTTTTATACCCTGGCAGAACAAATATCAGGGCACATTTCCGACCCCATAAAGGATACATATATGTATATTCTTGATCAGCTTGACCAGCAGTCGATCTAGCCATATCCGCCTGTCCGTTTCTATGCAAGCTAGACTCTCAGTTTAAAAGCTAAAAACTTTCCCATAAGTGTAATTTCTAAGTCGAAACTGATCAGATCGGACGACTTATAACATATGGCTTCCATTGGAAAAATCGCAAAAACAAATTGAAATGACTTCGTCGGAAATACTGCGAGATATAGTAATTTTAAGCCATTTCAGAATAACGGTTTTAATATTATAAAATTTGACGAGCTGCAGTAGGAACTATCAACAAATTATCAGAAAATGAACATAATTACTGAGATTCACTGTTTGAACAGTAAACGCAAGCAAATCGAAATATAGTCATTTTATAGACGATTTAATTTGTAAAAGCTGCAAGGGTAAATAAACTTCGGCTTCTCAAAGTTAGCTTCCCTTCTTGTTTTAAGTAGTTGGTAATTTCTGTTTTTTTTAACTTTTCTTCAATAAAATGTTAACACTGAAAAAAAGCTTCGTAGAGCTTTTTAAATTAAATTAACCACTCTAGTAAGCACTTTTCTAATCTCACCGATTGAGAGCTTCCACTCGAACGCTTTGATTGGCCTAGTGCATGACTTTCGATTTTTTGGACTCTATATGGTGCACGCCTCCAAAAGTCTTGCCTTTTCTTGAGCTTATATTAGAAGCCATAAATAAAGAGACAAACTTTTGTCTGGACGGAACCTAATCCAGCTCTGATTATCGATGAATTCGATAATCAAACATCATAAATTTTAAATATATAACCTTGGTAAGACCAAACAAAGACTGGACTTTCATTGTTTGCAATTATTTCGCAACCGATCGGAATAGAATTGAATCTTCCTTTGGTGGATATTTGGGCGTTTAATGTACTGAAATAGTTTTCGATTTTTTTAAAAGTTTCACAACATTATTGTAAAATCTTTTAAAAGACTTTCTCATGAGATTTTAGCACTGCCTTGTGTATTTGTGATTAAGCATAAACACATATCAGGTCCAAACAATTGCCCTCGGGACCTAGAACTACTAAAAATATATAAATTTATGCTAAAAGTTCAATACCTTTATGTATGATTTCATGCTTAATATAAATCATTATAAAAACTTGAACAAATTATTGCACTAATAATATAATAATAAACTCATATGCGTTAACACTAAAATCACAAATGAAGATAATATAAAAAGTGTTTTACCATTTATATTGGGACTTAAAGATTTTCGATATAGGGTCTGTGATAATACATGGTCAACCCATTTAACAAAATCGGGCTTGGAATTGTTGAACTCAGCGTTTTTGGTGCACGTGAAATTTCAAATATTGTACCTATTTACTAACTTGAACCTAAAAATGTTTAGTCACCCTTTTCAATAAATACAAAGTCAAGATAATTTTTAGTTGGATGCATTTATTCAACAATCGATCATGGCTCTGATCCAAAGTGATTCTGACCCTTGGCTAGATTTGACTACCGGTTTCTCCCTTCGATCTAGAAGAGCTTGTAGTAGGCGCTCTGGATGTCAGTAATCCAGTCGACGTAGCTGGACACCTTGGTGAAGACGGAGGGCAGGTTGGCCAATCCGCAGGGGATGTAGCCCCAGGAGACGATGCCGATCAGCTCAGAGGCGGCGTTCTCGAACTCAACGACCAGTGGGCCGCCGGAGTCACCGTTGCAGGCGGACTTGCTCTGTTCCTGGGAAGAGGAGCAGATGTTGGATTCGGCCAGAGGAGCGGTTTCCGGAAGGGCCTCCTTGCACTCCTGGAAGTTCACAATGTCGGTGGTCACAGTCTGGAGGGTCTTGGCGGCAGTCAGGATGTAGGATTTGGGCTGTCCCCATCCGTACAGGTGGGTCTCTCCCTCATGGACTTGCTCGCGGCTGGGCAAGGTGGCGGCCTGCACCCACTCGTTGAAGATGAAGGACTCGCTCACGTGGAGAAGGGCAATGTCGTAGGGGCCAACGCCGCCGCTGTACTTCTCGTGGACGCGGCCGAAGTCAACCTGGCGCTGCTGCGTCAGCTCATCCACCTCGGCACGAGTGTGGAGTCCGGCAATGATGCTCATGCCAACGGGATTGGAAATGCAATGGGCAGCGGTCACCACCCAATCCTTGCTCACGATGGTGCCTCCGCAGATGTGCGAATGCTTGGCGTAGTTGGTGGCCAGGGAAACGATGTACGGGGCGGAGTGGGGTGCCGCCTCCGTGCCGTTGATCACGAAGCCAGTGGCAAAACTGGGTACGATTTTGGCCAGCTTGTCAGAGAGCTTGGCTCCCTGAGCGACGGCCACCAGGGCAACAATTAGGGTTACAGCGATCAACTTCATTCTGCTGACTTGCGAAGAATGTCTTCTGCCTTTCCGGCGGAAAGCCCCTTTTATACTTGTCTTTCACTATAGATTACCAGATAGATTTATGAATCGTAATTGGCGATTAGTTTATTTCGTCTGAATTGATTAGGATTGGCTGATTGGGAAAACGCGTACTTTATAGTAACGTACCCTTGAGTGGGAAAAGCCCTGGAAAACTCCATCCACGTGGTCGTGCGTAATGTGTTAACTGAGGTGTTGACACGGCAAGGTCGACCAAGCCCCAGTCTCAAAGGATGCTAAAAATACTGACCCCTCTCGACGGGTTCTTCCAGCTAGCGGGCAAAGCCAATTAAAAGTGTATTTCATACCCCTGAAGTGACCGCACGTTTACGTAAACATTATCTGGACAACAGACACACGACGGGGCATGTGGCCCTAATGCCCCAACACAGGCGGCAATTATGTGCACGGATGTGCATGCGGGAGTGCACTCCACTTCGTTTTACCATTTCTCGCCCGGAAGGGTAATTGCATGTTTTATATGCCACAGCTTTACCCGACGAGGGTAATGAGTTCTAGAGCTATGGAAACAAGCTGGCATACGACAAATATTAGAACAACTTATTGCAAAGCTAAAATGGGTTCTAAGAATTATCCATACTTTCATCGTTGGATTTCATACTCGCAATTATTATACGGTACTATATTGTTATTACCGGATATAAAACAATTATGTTACCAACCTAATCTACAGATTTCTACTTTACTTTAACTTACCTTCTGTTTAAAACCTTCATAAAATTATAATACCCTTTGCAAGGGTATACAAATTAGTCTTATACCAAATATTGTTTAATAACAGAACTAGTTCTTTGGGCTATTCGTACTGATAACAAAAGCTCCTCAGTCTATTAGTATAAAAGCCCCATTCCTTTTCGGCTGCCGGCTTAGACGTTTAATAGCTCGTAACCGTATCAGTAAAAATGTTATCGCCGCTTTTCCTGCTACCCCTTTTGGCTTTGGCCGGAGCGGCTAAAAACCCGAACATTCAGCACTTGACGTTGAGGGACGTCAGTCAAGTGCCCGTGGAGATCCAGCCTCTGATCATCGATGGCTACGATGTGCAGGGCGTTGATAATGTGCCCTACCTGGCTTCCTTGTCCCTGACAAGGTCCACTTATACCCACCTGTGCGGAGCATCTATTATCTCCAAACGCTGGCTTCTAACGGCTGCTCACTGTGTCAAGGAGTTGCAACAGTTTAATGGAGATGCCGTGGGAACACCAGTATATGCGGGGATCATCAACAGATCTAACGTTACTGCCGCCCAAGTACGCTATGTGGACTTTGCCTCCACTCATCGTTCGTTTACTGGCAATGCTGGAAGTGATAATATTGCCCTGCTTCATGTCTCCGAAAGTTTCGAGTACAACGCTCGTGTTCAGCAAATCGCACTGCCCGATATCAAGGATGATTATAGCAATAAGACAGCGGCTGCTTACGGCTGGGGACTGACAGATGCCGATGGCGATGAGTACTCCAAGGAGTTGCAGTACGCCTTTGCTCCACTGCTAAACAGCACCGCCTGCAAGGAGCTGCTCCCGGCGGATGCCCCTCTTACGAATCAGCAGGTCTGCTCGCAGGTTAAGACCTGTTACGGAGACGGAGGCACTCCCCTGGTATACTGGCCCCTGGCTGGACCCGCGGAATTGGTGGGCCTCGGATCCTGGAGCTATATGCCCTGCGGCTATGCCAAGCGGCCCACTGTATATACCTCTGTACCGCCCTACGTGGGATGGATCTACCAAGTGATCGCCGCCTACTACCAGCTAAACTGAGATTTAAGGGGTGCCAAAGGGGAGATCTTTGCGTAATACTCTACCACCGCATTAAAGTAAATACCGTATCTAATCACGGAACTCGTTAACTACGAATCGAAAACCGTGTTTTATTGCCCGATAAGTGGACGGCTGATTGCTCGAAATCGAACTACTATTTACGATTGCCGATCAGCTAGTGATATATGACAGTGTGTAAGTGCTGAGTAAGTGCACCAGGAATTCCAGTTTGGTGTTGGATCAAGGTCAGAGTTAAGGTTTTTCCTGGATTATTGTGAAATTTGTGCTTACCAAGCTAGGAAGGATTTAAATAATTTTTAATTTTAAATAATTAAAAATAATTTGTTAATATGAATTTCAAAACTATATGAGCTAATGTAGAGTATGTCGAAAGCAACGCAAATCTTATTTTACATTTAGCATTTAAGCACAAGTGCAGGCTCGTAAAATGATGCGTTTTTATTTCGTTTTTATGGCTTACTATATTAACTGGCGTGGGTCTTGTCTATAAATGAAATCCCATTTAGAATGCAATTCGTTTTAGTTTATAGTGGCAGCTGTTCAAATAATTTACTATGTTTGGCGTGTTTTTAAAAATAAGAAAAGAAGGACATTTTGGCAGACCGGAATGAATATGCAGCTATTAATAAAACGAAATATTCTGTAAAAAGACTTTGTTTAAAAACAATAAAGCTACCTCGATTATTTAAAACATTTTGCGATTTTTATATGATATAAAATTAAAATCGGGTTAGTCTAATAGCTAGGGAAAGGTCTCCAGCTGGTTCCCACTTCTCCCCTCCTCATCATTAATCATCATTTCTGAGCTTTGGAGCCGCCTCCCACAGCGAACTTGGTGACGAGAATATCTTCCGACTCATTTCCAATCGGTTGGCTTAGGGAAACGTCAGCAGCAGTGGCAGGCAAAGTTCTCGAGTATCTGGAAAACTTTCTCAGGTTAATCAGGAGTAGGGTGAAATAAGGGGAGGAAATTGGTTGTAAACAGGAGCTACATATTTTATGATATAATTTACATGTAGTTTCCCCCAGCAGCTGTTTAAACTCATTTTGATAGTTTGGTCCGAGGCAACATCCAGTACATTCTTCGAGGGAGCTGAACTAGTTGCTGAGTGGTTCCTGGCAGCGTTTGCATATCCCTAACCACCACCCATCCGACACAAAGAGCCCTCTAATGCACTGCATAACTGCTCCCCACCCTGTGGATGCCTGACAGCCCTTTCAGATCTCAGTTCCCTAAGCATGATTGACGGGAGAATGAAGAATGGCGTTTGACAATCGTCACCAACAGATGGATTCTACAGCATTACATGTTACCGTATGTGTAAATGGATAAATGCACTGAAAAAATGTTAAGGGGAGGGAATCTGTTTAAATGAAAAAGATTTGACAATAAAATAAAAAGATTATGCTTAAAAATATCCTAAACAAGAAAGGAAGCAAACTTTAGCAAGCCCAAATTTGTATACCCTTGCAGCCGCCACAAAGACGAAATATTCTATATTTCGATTTCGATGCTTAAACTATCTATGGATATAGGTTAAAAACAACAAAGCTATAATTTTATTTCCCTTTTTATGGGATATACCAGTATATTGGTATATTAAGGTGTCGTACTTTTTCCACAGTGCCATTATCTAAGGGACATCTGGCTAGCTGGCAGTTATCCCTTTTTCCCTTCTTGGTTTGCAGTCCCCCTTAAGCGTTTTATATACCCGACCGACATGCAGGGAGCAGATCCAACTGTTACACCAATTGAATTATGCATGTAATCGCTCTTATCCTATTCGCACACTCACACACAAATATTTTACGCAGATACAGATGCGGATTTTAATATTTGAGGAGCGTGTCAATTGTCAGTCATTGTCAGCTCGGGCTTTCAAGAGCAGTCACGAAGTGAAAACTGAAATTCACACACAATTTCTGCAGATGTTGTATTTCCAATGAATTTTGCAGATTGAAAATGAATTACCGAAAGTTTTCCTGTCCCTCCCGCGGCAAACTGAACTCAATTAGTTTTCAGTAACTAGACAAACAAGAAAAGCAACCAAGACAACTCGAGTGGTGATTCCAATTAGCGATGGACGAGCCATCGCTCCGGATTTCCCCAAACAATCAACAAACCCACCAGCCGGTTGAAAATCTGCAGAAAATATGAGCCTAATTGAATATCTCAAGTGGGGTTGGGGGGTTGGCGAATCCGAGTAGATGTTTTCAATTTCAATTATTAGGGAAACTCGCCTGTTCCCGCGAAAAGGGGAGGGCAAGCCACTTTGGCACCTAGCGGGTTCATTAAACTCAAACCCAAAATTCGAACCCGAAGGGATAATGAACTTTTGGCTGCGCAAATTAAATATGCTCATAACGAGTATTCGGAGCTCATCAATTTTTGGTCATAGCAACGAGCATTCCCTAATCTTAATGGGCCATTGCTGGGGTCAAGGAATTTGACCCGCTAATTTTAGTGGAACCGTGGGGGAAATGTTTGATAAGCAAACAGTTAAATGCTTGGGGTTCGAAAGAACTGGGTTATAATTACCATCGACGAGGTGAAAGTTCTTAATTTAATACTAAAACTTAAGAACTTTTAGTATTTCTAATAATATGAGATATTTAACTGGTCAATAAAACGTTTGAAATTATTTTTGTTTAAGATTAGAAATCTATTCTTTGAAAAATCAATGTAACGTCTGAAATGTTTTCTGATATTTTAGAGAGAATTTAAAATTAACAAAAGGTATGAGGCATTCTTTAAAAGTTTCTTAAATATAAAAAAAAAACAGTTTTAGTTGGTTCAAAATTGTATTGCATAGCGAATCGATGATTTTGTTTTTAAATTAGAAAGACTTGCAAAAAGAGTCACTTTTTGTTTTGCGGTTATAATAAATTTACCAAATGAGTAATTGTTTTTTAGAAAATTAAAAAAAAAATGACGTGGAACTTAACTGGAAAAAAATAATTGTATGCTTATCGGAACAAATTTAAGAAAATTTCTCCAAAACATTTTTGGGTACTTAAAAAATGTTAAACTTAAATAGTATTTAAATAACTTAACTCTTTGTAATTTTATTGTAATGGTTTTAATACATTAAAATCATTAATAAGTTTTTAGTTACTTTGATACTTGTTGCTGACAGCAGAGTGGCTCACAATTCTTGAAGTAAAGCTACGGAGAAAACCCCACTTTTCCCCACTCAACTTGATTGCTTTGGCTTTACCGATCATATGTACGACTTCTGTCCACCCACTATTTAAACGTCCTTCTACATTTTTTTTGGCCCGCGCAATTAAACGCGATATTCAACTTGCTTGCTTCCCGAGACATCTTGTTCGCTAGCTGCCAGATTTGACTACCACTTAATTAAGAATACGATTTACATTTTAATTTCGGCTGCCGTTATTCTGAATCCACATCTGTTTGACATTGGTAGCTGTGCGGGCAGAGAATGTTCGCATTTCGCCAGCCTTTTCTTTTATGAATGGATGACCGGGGTTGTTAAATATTTATGGCTGCCGGCAAATGCCCATTTAATTTGACTTAAATAATAAGCAGAAAAAACATATGACAGACAACTGCACTCAGGCGGGCAATTCAGCTGAGAAATTGGATGGGATAAATTCATTAGGGGGCAGTTCAATAAACTCTGGAAAAACAATTGTGTATATCATGTGTTCATCATTTATTGGACCCGAATCGGAGGCAGAAATGTGTTTTGATTATAACATGTGCTATCAATTCCGGTTAGACTTTCTCTTCCTCAAAGCGTTTTTTGTTTTGGTTTGATTTTCATTAATAAGGCTTTTGTATCTCTAATTTCAGGACTCGGGCAACGGAACACCGGTGACGATGCGTGTCGATTCCAAGGGCTTTTTCCTCTATTGGGTCGATCAGAACAACGAATTGGACATTCTCGATATAGCCACCATACGCGATGTTCGCACAGGACAGTATGCCAAGCGGCCAAAGGTGCGTCTTAATCCTTACTCACTTCTATACGATGTTCACCACCCTTTTGATGCTTCATCGGATACTTTTTCCTGGAGGTTGGCATTCAGACCAATGCAAGATTTAATATTTGATAGGTTACAACATTCTTCGCCGTTTTTCTCATTGAATTCGTCTGTTGATTTTCGAATGGGGATTACTTCGCAGGATTTACCTCCCTTTTTTCTTGTACAGCAGCATATACCGCAGCAGCCGCATCTCTCTAAAATTAATTTGGAGAAAATAAGAAATATTAGTTTGATTAGCGCACGCTCATTGAACATTGTGTTTTTGGGTGTCAATCTGAAGCATCTGCAACTCCAAAATAGATAAATTGTAAAGAAAAAAATTAATTACACTGTGAGCTAGTGGTCATAAATGTTTGGGAACAATGCAATGGAAATGGCTTTGGGCCAATAAAAGTATTCGATTGGCGCCGGCAGCAATCAAAAGCCAATTACTGGGACAGGTTTGTGAACGGATTTCCCAAGAATAAGAGCACAGGTAATCTACAGATTGCCCCGTTTGAATTGCCCAGCCAAGTCACGTGCCTTGCGTCCCCATCTTTGGAAATCGACTAGAAATCGGTATCCCAGTGTGATTCTGTGTGTTGCAACAATTTTCCGTAGTGAGATTTGCCTTCTTCTGCGAAAGGCTTTTTCCATTTTTGTACCATTTTCTTTTCATAGTAGAAGGACTCGCCGCATTGTATGCTACTATCGACCATGTGAGGAAGTTAATAAATTTATCTTGGCAATGACAAGGAATCATGGTTAACATGGTACCTTTGTAAAGCATTTCATGCTGGCCCCTTGGACCAGAAAAGTCATTTGAAACTTTCGCTGTAATTTCAAACCCAATCCGGGTCCGAATTCTACCCAACGCTACACCATCCTAACAGTCTCCGGCACATTATCAAATTAATGTGCAATAAATGCTGCTTCATTTTTTCATCAGTGCTCCAACCATTATGGCAATTAATTGGGCTTCATTTCCTTTTTGGTTCTTGGGGTGTGGCACTTGTGCTTCACTGTATAAATCAAGCTGCTCGTCCTGGGGCCACGCCCATAGCCCGCCTCCCCGATAATAGTTGTAGTTGTTGTTGCGAAGCGCGACAGGCCCAAGGCCAAAGCCAAATGAGTTTGGTTTTCCTTTCAGTTTGCCCAAAGCAATACAAAAAGTTGGAAAATGAAAGCGTTCTTGGCGCGACTGGAGGGATTCGTTCAATGAAAAGGGCCACACTTTAAATAATTTCCCAATATGGGAATCCAGAGTAAGATAACATAATCTTTTGAGGTAAATTACTGCTGGATAGTGCTCCTTTTACGTACAAAGCACTTAATATAAAACCTCTTATTCTGGCCGATACCAAAATACGAAATTAAAAATTTTGGTTAATGTTCTGATTCTCTAAAGTTAATTGTAAAGAAGAATTACGTTCCGAAAGTTGTTAAAATTTAAATCACCAATTAATAAGTAAGCCCCACTTTAAAAGGTGAATAAAGAACAGGGAATACCTTGCATAAGAGGCCACTGGGAAAAATGTGTGATAAAATCGTAGCATACATCCGAGAGCAAGTCTTTACCCTTCCGACCCGCGGAGTACAAGTCACGGAGATCAGTTAGTTATCCGACTTTATTTAAATCACAGAATTACGATCGCTTTAAATCAGCGCTAGACACTAATAAAACGGATACGACTCCAAAATTTACAAATGCGAACTATTACTAATAGAGTAACACCAAAACAAACATAGGGCGCTGGGGTAGAGTCATCCGCAGTGGCCACCACTCCTGGTCAGGCGGTTGCACAGGCGGGTCAACAGTCCGTCCAGATCCTTGGAGATTTTCCGATCGCCTTTCCGATTCCTCCGCTGCAGGGCACGTTGTAACTGTTGAATGGCTTGGATCCTGCCGAAGTGCGTTTGCATGCGAGGATTGCCGCAGAACAGGTTGTTGCATTCGATGGGATTGCACTTGTGGTGCGGAGCTGGGTAGGCCTGATCTTTGCACTCCATGTACTGGCGGTGCCGTATTTGGCGAAGATAATCGCGCACTTGGCGCTCTCGATCTCGCCGCCGCATTTCCTTGATCAGCGGGGAATCCTCCTCTTTTGGCGGACAGCATATTTCACAGGGGCAGTCCTTATTCGGCTGATCGTCCTTACCTTTGTCCTTGCCTTTATCATTGTCCTTTACTGGCTTAGGTTTTTTCTTGCCTCCCTTACCCTTGCCCTTGTCCTTGCCCTTGTCCTTGCCGTCACCTTTCCCCTTGTCCTTTTGGTCATCCTTTTCCTTTTCCATGTCGCCATCGCCACCGCCTCCGCCACCAAAGCCATCGCCACCTGGCTTTTCTCCAGGTGGGAGATTAGAATCTGTACTACGGGGCATCAAGGGACGATCCTCCTCCGAAGATCTAAATTCCGGCTCTTTAATTTTCTTATCGCCCTTCTCGTTGTCTTTTTCCTTGTCCTTGGTATTGCTCTTCCCTTTATCCGGTTTCTCTTTCTGTTTCCCTTCATCTTTTTTTCCATCCTCTTTGCCTTCGCCCTTTCCCTTTTCTCCCTTTCCCTTTCCCTTTTCTCCCTTTCCTTTGTCGCCCTTTTCCTTTTCGCCATTTTCCTTTTCGCCCTTTTCCTTGTCGCCCTCGCCCTCGTCACCATCGCCAATACCATTATCTTTATCACCGCCTTTTGCACCGTCACTGTCACCCTTTTCCCCTTTGCCCTTGTCCTTGTCCGTTCCCTTGTCCGTTCCCTTATCCGTTCCCTTGTCCGTTCCCTTATCCTTGCCCTTATCCCTACCCGACTCACCATCTCCTCCGGCGCCATCCGGCACGAACTCGCTGCATCCTTGGGATGGTGGGTCCTTGGGATCCTTGCAGCACTTTTCGAGTGCCTCGCATAGATCATTCCGGCCATTTGGGTCCTGTACAAAGCAGGACACCAGGGACTTGTAAAGCTCTTCGTAGTTTCGCGGCTCGGGCTCCTTGACCTCCTTCTTGGCATCCATTTCCCGCTGAAAGGCTTCGTCGTAGGGTCGTGAATCAAGCTTGTACTTGGCCCATTCGTAGTCGGTGCACTTGTTTTCCACTTCGCCACATTTTGGGGGGCAGTACCAGTGCTTGCGTCGCAGACCATGTTTTGGAGGCTGGTCCGGTTTTGCCATGTCCATAGCTTGCTCCCTGCTGATCGCCGGAAAGCCCGAATTGTCTTCGAAGGGATTCTCAGGATCTGCTGGCTGGGGGCAGTGAAGCCAGGAAAACGCGTTACTCGCCTTCAGCTGGCGCTTCACGTTGGGCATTTTGTCGAGCTTGGTCTTTAGGCAGTCCTGATTCAGAACGAATGCTCCGCTAGGTTCGGGCGCCTTCCTTTGAAGCTCCCACTTGGGTTTTATGTTTGACTTCTTCGGCGGCTTGGGCAAAAGACTCGACGCCTTTAGGCTCTTCTTTAAGACTCGGTCATAGAAGGCAGCTTGTGGAGTAGGGTAACCCGATCCAACGCCATACCATCCCAGGGTATCTTTCTGGGGACTGTAGTTCCACACGGTCAGTGAATCTTCCTTTCCATAGTCGAAGAGCCTTGTGCATTGGTTGGCCTCCATAGCATCGTCGATGTACTTAAGGGTCTTGGTCTCGTCGCACTTGGAGATCGGCGGTCGAATACTGGGATAAGTTTCCTGCAGGTGCGGCTTGTTGGTCTTGCAGTTGTTCCATCGCATCCACTGGTACATGGTGCGCGGCTCCTCCGCAAAGGTGTTTAGCGGGTCGGGTTCTTGGCAAACTGAGCCCCCTTGTGAGCCCTGCCCTCCCAGAAACCTCCGAGATCTTTGAGGCTGCGCATAATTTCTCCCCGTCATTGCGATAATGTTATCTATTCTCTGCTTGGTGTGTTTCCGATTCGGGTCCAATTTTTTTTTATATTTTATAAATCTTTAAGTTCAATCTGAGAACCAAAATGAAACAGGTTTTTTTTTTTAAATTTAGGTGTTGTCTGTTGAACACATGATAAAATTCTGAGAATGGATTTGAATTGTCAGCAGATCAATATAAAAGGGATTTCAAGGCCGCCTTAAAGAATTACATTTTCTATTCCTATGTTTACATTAAAACATCGTGTGGGTACAGCAGCTGCACCGTTAAAACAAATTTAAGATATAATATTAAGCAATAGCAATGACAAGGTGACAAGGTCTTAAAGAAATGGCGCTGAGACAAATATTTGTTCGTTAAAATAAAACGGTTTTCGTAAGTACCCCCCCTTAATTAGACTCCATGACATTGGCAAACCTGTGATTATTTAAAAGTTCGTTTATTATACAATTGTCAAATTTTGAAAGAGCACTTAAACGTGCAAATGAAATACAAGCCAATTAAACGGGCCAAAACACACTTCTCAGAAGCACTCGCACATTCGCTGGGCGATTCTTTGGCGGAGATCCTCGAGGTTGAAGATCAGCTCGTTGTTGACGATGGGATGCTTCTTGCGAAGGAGTCGGTGCAGATGTTGCAGGGCGCCCAAGCATTCACAATACTCGGATATCTTTGGATTCAGGCAAAAGCAGTTGTCGCAGGTAATAGGATCCACGGCGTGCTGGTGAGCCATTGGCCTTTGACCAGCCCACTCCATGTACTCCTTGTGCCTCATTCGCCGGAGGTATTCTCTCATTTCGCGAATCTTTTCCTGGGCAAACACCGATTGCATAGCCGGGGAGATTGAAATCTTCTTGGCATACAGACAGTCGCAAATGCAGCACTCGCAGTCTACTGGAGGACAGGGTGGACACAGGTCCTTCACGTCCTCCTCCTTCTCTATGCTGAGCGTCGGGGGCCTTCCGCTGTCGGGTTTCTTATTGGGAGGTTTCTTATTTGGTGGTTTCTTAATTGGCGGTTTCTTAATTGGCGATTTGTTAGGCTTATCAAAGACTTCTTCTTTGGTTGATGGTACTTCCTTTGTATTATTAAAGTCTTGTTTGTTTTGTTCTTTGTCTGATTCTCTGGACGCATAGGAAAAATTCCGAGTGGACGTTTCGGTGGTGCTTTCTAATATAGGCTCTTTGGGCGGCTTCAGCTTCGGGACAGGGCTTCTGGGTTTCAGTTTTCCTTCATCGGGATTTTTTATATCTTTCGTCTTAGTCGTGTCCGTTTCCTTGTCTTTTTCCTTGTCGTTATCCTTGCCTTTATCCTTGCTTTTATTCTTATCCTTACCCTTGGCTATGGTCGTCTCTTTTTCAGTATCCGTATCCTTATCTTTATCTTTGCTCAAGTCCGTGTCCTTATCCTTGCCTTTAACTTTATCTTTAACCTTATCTTTACCTTTGCTCATGTCCGTATCCTTACTATTTCCCTTATCATTTCCCTTAACGTTTCCCTTATCTTTTCCCTTATCTTTTCCCTTATCTGCTCCCTTATCTTTTCCCTTATCATTTTTCTGATCATTTTCCTTATCGGCTTTATCCTTGCCTTCATCTTTGCCTTTATCTTTGCCTTTATCCTTGTCCTTATCCTTGCCGGTATTCTTTTCTATATTTTCTTTATTCCCATCACCAGTTGGCTTGGTGGATCCTTCAGGTGCAGGACCAGGACCAGATTGGCCTCCACCATATCCTCCGCCAGTGCCTTTGCCTCCTCCACCTCCTCCTGCTCCTTCTCCTTTTCCACCTCCTCCTCCTCCTCCTCCTCCTCCTACTGCTCCACCTCCTCCCTCCTCCTCCTCCTCCTACTGCTCCTCCTCCACCTCCACCTCCTCCTGTTCCAACTCCTCCACCACCTCCTCCGCCTACTAATCCAACATCGCCCTCTTCTTTTACTTTCTTGACCATATCCGCACAACACTTCGCAAAGGCCACGCAATCGGGATCTGGTTGGGGTTTAACCTCGAAGCAGGCTTGAAAACGCTTATAGAGCTCATCGTAGTCGTGCGGCTCCCTCTCTGTTGGCTTCACTTTCTGCTCGAGGAACCACTTGCGGAAGGCATCGTCGTAGGGTCGTGAGTCCAACTTGTACTTGGCCCACTCGTAGGCCGTGCACTTGTTTTCCGGATCACTACATTTCGCTGGGCAGTACCAGTGATTACGTCTCAGACCGTGATTTTGAGCTTTTGATTCTGGTTTCTCCATATCCAGGGCTCCTCTCAAGCTCTCCCTTTTAGTGGATGCCGCATCCACGCCTAAAGGGTCCATAGGATCCAGGGGCTTTTCGCAGAATAACGTTTCAAGAGCCTCCTTGGGATTAAGTTTGTGCCGCACCACGGGCATTTTTTGGAGCTCCGATCTCAGGGCCTCGCGATTGAGGATGTGGGGCTGACATAAAGGAGCGGGTTGGGGCGGTCCTGTTGGTGCTGGAGAATTCGGTGACAGCTTGGGAACCCGTCTTCTTGGACCGAAGGCATGTTCCAGGCTGCTTGTCAAAGCCCTGTTGAACTTGACGGCTTCCGGTTGGTTCAACTCATCGGCAACACCATAATAACTGAGGGACTTGTGCGGACTCATCCTCCAAATTTGGAGGGCGTCCTGCCTGCTGGTGTTATGGTCCAAGCAGCCTCCCTGATCAACCGATTCCAACAGCCAGTTCTTTGTCTGATCGTAACTGCACCTGGACATCGGCGGTCGGATGCTGGGATACCGTTCGAAAGGTATGAATTTCTCGGCTTTGCAGTTGCGTTGACGCATTAGTTCATATGGTCTGGGAATTATCTCAGAATCATGGGTTCCGAATGGATTGCAGGGACCCCCTGTGTGAGTGGAACCACCACCAGAGCCCATCGTTCGCCTGCTGCTCATATCTTTATACTTGCGATGGCGACATGCGCTGAGACCTTAATTTGTGCTTTAAAATTTTTTTTTGTTTGTTTTCTATAAAAATTTTAAATTTTGTAAAATTAAAAAACTACTTTTTTCTATCTAAACCTATCGACTATCTGAAGCCTACTGCCGAATAAAAGTCAAAAACCTGGTGCGACTGGAATGACAGGTAGTACGTAGGTTAGTTGCTGTGTCGTTAATGTCCTTCCTCCGCAATCCAGCGTTCCAAAGTTTTGCGTTCCGTGATCCTAAGCGCTACGATCGAGTTATTTTTAATTCGTGGAAATCAATAAAATGTTGAATTAGAAACTTATTTTAGCTTTTATAAAAAACTTGTTTTGCTCAGCGAGCAAGTTAATGTTTTTGTTTTGTTCTTTTCTTCGTTTGTTTAATAATGAATATGTGACATGTAATTCAATCCTATTCAGTTTTTAAATTGTTGAAGTATCTATGAAAAACTAGATAACTACTAAAATAGTAAAAGTAGAATGCACAGAAAGAAGAAATAATAATAAACAATTTATTTGATATAATAAATTTCTGTTCTTTAATAACTAGACTCCGCAGTGCGTACAATTTTTCTTTGGTTTTCTGAAATTGCCATACTTTGTTGAGTATTATGTTATTAGTACCTTTAAAATCAATAACTGGAATTGGGGGCTGTCTAAAATTATCACGGGCAACTGGCGGCCCCCTTCTCTTGCGGCCTATGATGAGCGTTCTTAAAATCCAAATTTTAAGCAGAGCCAAAAGGATTAGCAGGCCAAAAGAAGCCTTGGGATTGGGAGGCGGTGAATGGGCGGAACTTCGCGTGAGCGCCGAGCGCGAAGCGTGAGAAGCAATTAAGATAATCGCCTAAGTCATTTCCGCTTTACGCTTCGCACGGTGGCGGACCAAAAATCCGGGCAGAGACCCGTAGGAGAAACCCGGAGAGCCGGCAACAGAAGCCCCGGCCATGACAGCCATTTACATTATTCAGAAGGACAAATTTGCCGGAATTAGTTTTTAGTTAAAAGCAAATCATGACGCTCGCAGATAAACGTTACCTGGAGCCAAGCAGGGTTTGCCCCGCATCCCCAGCATTGGTGAGTTGTCGTTTATCACCGCTAAACGGAAAGTCTCTTTAATGGCCCCCAGTGCCCGACGAAATCCAGGTGAGCACGGGAGAAGCCTTTCAATTAGTCGTCTCAGCCGCTCGGTTCAGGCTTCGCATCATCCATCCGTGAGCCTGGAATATTGCTGACCAGTAAAGCCTATTAACGGGCCGTTTTGCATACACTAAAGACGAAGGAGGGGTACACTTAATCAGAAATATTATAATAAGAAATTATCGATTTTAAATTTACATTCAGGATTTTAATATGTTTTCTATTTGGCATTGACCATTATTAGTTTTAGTTTCGTACGAAGATTGCAGGTCAAATCAGTCCCCAGACATTTAAGAGCATTGAAGTTATTCGCCAGAATTTTATTGACCCCCAGCTTGTGCATTCGATGGGCGAGCTCACAAGATAACATTGCTGGTCTCCGCTCTGTCAGGCCGCTCTTAACTGCCTGCCGATAAGGTCCACCCTAACTGGGCAGTTTGACAAATGTCCCAAATGTCGAAAGCGTTCCAGGAAGAAAGGCAAACACAAAATCTCCCCAAGTCTTGGCTGGCCACAAAGTTAGTGCCAAATTCATGCTCTGACTTCCGCTTTAAGTTGGCCGCCGCCAACGCTCTGAAGTCTGTGCTCCCTTATTGCAGTCGCGCTGTGTCCTGTATCCAAACTATGTGTCATGCATTCGAAAGGACGATGATAATCCCTGGCCGAGTCCCCCCTCAGTAGGATATTAAAAGAGAAAGACGGCTGCTCGACAGGAAAAATAAGTTTTTAAGCACAATACTAAGCGGGTAAAAGTGTTGAACTAAAAAGGAAAAAAGAAGCGTATGAGTAATATTTTTAATTTTCCACAATATAAACATTTCAAGGTTAAAGTGGCTACAACTTAAACTGATGATAGTTAGTACTATAATTATATAATCAACATCACATTTTAAAACACATTTAGGACACAGTTAAGCATTGAAGTACTTTAATACCAGTTCAGAGTTATTGATTTGTGTATAAATTCTTTGGAAGTGAATACAGTTCACTGTCTTTCCATTCAAAGAAATGTATTTATAACTTTTGCAGTAACAAGAAAGTCCCTCTAAGAAGTACTCATTTGCCTGGAAAGTCTACAAATGCCACTCTTTCTTATTTGTTCTGCTTGCGTCGCGGGCTGATTTGCATTTAACCCAGTTGGCTCCGGAGTCGAAATGTTCTTTGCTCGATTGCGTTTCCCTTGGTTCAGTTCAGTTGAGTTGGCTTGTTTGGGTGGGTCCTTTGGCCAAGGATGCACGTTCTCCCGGTCTCGTAAATCCATTTGTGCCGTTTAATTGAAATATGGCACCCACCCCGGTCAGTTGAGCTCGGGAATCGTGTTTGTTTGACTGGTTTACAAGGCGAGCAAATGAATTTTGTTGCACTCGCAGGATTAGCGCGCAAGGATATGGCTTCCATTTACGACTGCCGGGCCATAAAACTTCATTTGGCGCGCGTGCCCCGCCCTTAATGCCCCTGATGCCCCAACCCCTTTGTCCGTTCGGTAATTAATAACGACCACGCTCATCTTTCGATTGCAGGACAACAAGCTACGCCAGATTGTGACGCTGGGCCCACAAGACACGCTGGAGGAGAAGACGGTGACTGTGTGCCATGGCTCGGATTTCGTTAACATGACGTTCGTCAACTTTTGCTGCACCCGGCGCGACATTGCCCAGGTAAGTCCAATCCACAATCCACTGCTCGATTGGTAGCAGTAGCCTTAGCCATCTCATTATTGGCCACTTGCGCCGGAGACTTGTGACAACTCGATGACAACTGAAAAGTATCGAAAAGGGAAAAGTCATTTACCATTTGTGGGTCGCATGCACACACGCCCAGTTCCAAGTCATTCGGGGAATTGGGTCGGGTGTGCTATGCTAATGATGGTCATTATGGTCAGCTACTGTGCACTAAAAAAATAAACGTGTATTTTTACTCTTTACATAAAATTCTCATCTAGTGATCAATCAAAAAAAAATATAGTCAAACCCTCTTACCGAGGGTATTAAAATGTTAATGTAAAGTTTCTTGATCAGCGATACCATGCGAGTCGATCTAGCCATGTCCTTCTGTCAATACATCATCGTTGTTACTTTACATATACTCATATGCACCGAAATTTAGTCATTTGTAACTATATCATAATTGCGGTTTTTCTTTTGTAAAACTCGAACAACTATAGCATACCGCTACCATAAAAACGATCGAAAATTTATCAGCAAACAAACTATCTTTTACTCTTGTTAATTATTTTCTTATTTTTCTGTTTGTGTATTTTCCACCGCTACACTAGGTTTGAGACACACCTGTGCCATGTCGCTTTCTGTTTTTAGCTATTTTTAGTGGGTCGCCGAAGGCGCCTAAAAAATTATCATGAACCACTCAACGGCGCTTTTATTGATTTCCGTCTCAGGGCGTGTCCACTGTCAGCCGTCCATTCCTCTTGTCTGCCACTGTCCTGCATTGACCTTGCCCAAAATCAATGTTCTATTTTATCAGTGGTCAGCAACCCCGAGCCCGTGCTGGTGCGGTTATTATTTTTGGCACGCGTCACGGACATCCTCAAAATAAACAAACGCAACTCGAACCACAGCAACGGCAACAAAGGAAAATTAAATTATGAAAATGCCAAAAATTTTATAAACTTTTCAAAAGGAATTTCGCAAAAACGAAATAAACAATATTGGCCATAAAAATACATAACGTATGTACGATAGTTGTGGCCTGAACAGCAAAAAAAATTAAAGCGAAATGGGCAGCGGTCTTTCACCATTTTCGGTCTAACTGACTAAGCAATCCATCTACGGCCTGTATCATGCATACGCCCTGTGTGCCACGGAACAAAAATATATCAGAAATTCCTTTTACATGAACAAATATTGCAAATGGCGTTTCCTGGAAAAAGCTTTCATTTTTACTTTTCCTTCTTAATTTTTTGGTCGAGAACTAAATTCTGTTTATTTAAAATTCAAGATAACTTTATCAATAACATTCTTATTCGTTTGTGTATCAATTAAAGCCTCTTCTTGGCAGGCAAAGAATACCAAGAAAATTCAGAAGAAGCTACCTTTAAGCAGATATCACGCAGATGCAGACTGTGCATGGGGGATATTTGATGCTTTACAACTCCCCGCCTCGCCACTTTATTTTAATCCATCTCTGCTCACATTTCGTATTCTCTTTCGGCTTTTTGCAGCTCTGGTCGGACGGTCTCATCAAGTTGGCCTACAGCTTGGCTCAGCTCAATGGGTCGGCTATTATGTTCCTGCAAAAGGCCCACACCAAACTGTGTCTGCAGGTGGACAAGAGCGGTCGCATACCAGTGAAAAAGTAATTGACAACAATCCCCAGTCCCAGATCTATCCCCCAAACCAAGCGTCCAACACCCGGTGTTCTGAGTCCGGGATCCTGGCCAACTTTCGGGTTTGGCTCCCTGGCTTTTGTGCATTGTGCGTTGAAGCGTTTGACAAATATTTGCTAACTGTAGCCATCGATGTTGAGCTGAAATTTACGCCAATTTCTATTTCGCAATTTCCCTTTTTCCTTCTGCTGCTGCTCCTGGAACGTGGCTCATGCTTCACTGGCGACCACGATGATAATGACTACGTCGATGACAACCTCATGAACACCAAACGCACCTCATTGTCCGCCATCCAACCATGCTGCCCACTACACTCCTCTGCTGCCTCTCTCCGATGGTCCAATTCTGGTCGTGACCACTTTAGCATCATAAAACTTTTCGCCCAGAACAAGGAGGATCGCAAACGTGTCGAGAAAGCGCTGGACGTGACCGGTTTGCCGTCGGGAAAGGTCGATAGCATATCGGTGTCCAAATTTCAATTCGAGGACTTTTACAATTTGTACAAATATCTCACGCAGCGCTCGGAGGTGGAACGGCTCTTTGACAGCATGTAAGTGCACCTGAGAAGTAGTAATCAAACATTTTTGTGACCTTGAAAAGGTGTGTTGATTCAATACCAATATTTCAAAATGTATTGCTTTAAATTGGTTGCTAGTGCAGTGAAATACCGTATTCTTTCGACTGCCTTTATTTTAACAGGTAGAAAGTCGATTTTAAACATTGCCATGTATTACTTTCTTCTCTCCCTTAGTGTTGGCAATTCGAAGCGCAAGTGCATGTCCATCGCCCAGTTGGTGGAGTTTCTGAACAAGACGCAGCGCGATCCCCGTCTGAACGAGATCCTCTACCCGTACGCTAATCCCGCCCGTGC